CCATCTCGTATAACCAGGAACTGTTTTATCATCAGCAGAACCACCATAATCCATAACAGCACTCTATAACCCATCATTTCTGCTCAGAGACTAATAAAGGTTGGCTATCTATCTGATATGCGATTATAAATCAAAATAAAACAGACACTCGTTGACGGCAAGCGGCCCCCAGTATCTGTGCTGTGGTGACATTTACACATCACTTCCTTCCTGTCCCCCACCCCACACAAAATGGCTCCCATTCTGCCTCCCCACTCACTCAATGTGACTTCAGAGACAAGTGCAAGTTTGAAAAACATGAAGGCAAACCCCCCCCCCCCTCCCCCAGGCTCCTGACCCCCAGCACTGGCACAGGGGACAGGGTACCAAGGCCCCCCTTCCAGATGACACTAACCCTTCACATGCCCAGCCAGCCAGCAGAGATGCAGTTTCTGACTGAATATTAAACAGACACATATTGTGGGAGGAAATGGGGGGGGGGGGGTTCTCTTACCCCAGGCCACACATGGCGGATCTCGGTGCGGACCACAGTGTCCACGGGGTCCTGGTTCCCATACCAGTACTGGCGGCTGCGGTAGATGACGTCACAGTTCGGACACTCGATCACATACCTAAAGACACACCCAGAGAGAGGCGGGATGAGCCTTGGTTTAGCCAACTGGAATGGCTTCTGGAAGGGGGCGTGGCCAAGCTGGGCAGTCGCGTTAAATAACTAAGGGATTAACTGGTAAGGGTGAAATACAACAACATACAGCTAATGCTTTGGGTAAAGCTCTGTAGATCTGAAATACATAAGCAAGTATGAAACACCCATGGGCTTATAACCAGCCAGAAATCACCTGCATTAATCTGTACCCTGACTATTAATTCCCACTAGAGATGCAGGCAGTATTGGTTGAACATACTGGTATCGACCAATACTTGTTAAAAATCAAGACATCAGAATTTGTCTGCTGTGTCGATCTAGGTCAATATTGCTGACTGATATTTAGACTTTAGTTAATATTCAAAGTTAGCCGAACCAGAGCCAAACTAAAATAACGGATGTGACTGCACTGGACTATCAACCATTTTCCAGGGTGGAGGACGAGGGATTTCATCAGTTCATTCACCACTTAAATAGGTTTCAAAGAACCAGCCCACTGGAACCCGCACTGGCAAATCCCACCCACCCCCACTACCCAGACTTCACTACTCACTGCATATTAGTAATATTCAATGAACCTATAGAGATTATCAGTGTTGGGGTTAAAAGTTCCACATTGGTGCATCACTGCGTACTGCCAAGTCCATATTGCCACCTTGGTGTCTAGCTGCTGGCCTGAAGTGATTTTCAAACATTTATATAGCTGTGCTTTGAACCAACAACCTTCATGTTACAGGCCCATGTGTTTAATTCCGGCAGCTCAAATGAAGTCCTTACCCTGACCATGCGTATCGGGCCAGGCCGAGCCAAGGCGAGTCTGAGGATGCGGACGTCTTGGGCACCACGATCACCTCCATGCCCCCCTCGTAGCACGCCTGCAGATGGGAGGGTAGTGCGGTGAGGCTGGAGCAGGCAGCGCATGGGACAGGCCTGGGATATAATGGGGGGAGGGGGGTCTACCTTGCAGGTGTAGACGCGGTTGTCGTAGTGGGCTGAGTAGCGGCAGCGGTGCTTGGCCTCATGGCTTACACCCTCCCTCAGGTGGTTCATACTGTTTCGGCAGCCGGACCTGGAGCACAGACAGGCGAGGTAGGTGTGATCCATCAAACGCCTACACTACGGCTCCCTGCCCTCCCCACCCAGAGGCCGCACCCACCCGCAGCTGAGGCACAGGCTGGAGCAGGTGAAGTACTCATCTGGGAAGAAGGAGCTGAGGGCCTGGTGCTCGTCCGGGATCTCGCCGCTGAAGCGCTCACTCAGGGCCTGCGGAGAGGGGGAAGGTTCCCCGGGAAGCTGGGTTATGGCGTCACGCCCAGACAGCCAGCGGGCACCAGGTGGGCGGTGGCCCATCACAAACCTGCAGGGCCTTAAACACGACCAGCGGTGAGCGGGGGGACCGTGTGGTGCTGTTGTCCAGCTGCTGCTCCAGGCTGCGCAGCAGGCCGCTGAAGTCAGTGGGCGGGTTGTAGGTGCGAGTGCCGCAGTAGCGCACGGAGCTGAAGGCCTCTGGGAAGCGGCCTAGCTTCCGGAAGCGCTCCTGCAGGAGCCTCTCTGCCGTCTCCCCTGGCTTGTCTATTTAAAGGTGAGAGGGGCAAAGGGGAGGGGCATGTATAGATGAGTGCCAGATACACGAACCAATAGTAGGCCAAGTTCAGCTTTCAAAGCCACAACATACACACTCATTAGTAAACAATAATGTCTTTGTACATCTGGCAGGAAAGTACAATATTCATAAATCAAAGCCCCAAAAAGACACCAAAGAGCCATTATTAATTAATCAGTTAAACTGGAAGCTGGAATTCGTTTCTGCAGAGGGAGGAGACTCTGCTGACCTGAGCCCAGGAGCTTGGTGTGGACAGTCTCGTGGAAGATGATGACAGCAGGGCCCAGCGTAGACAGAGGGACGTCGAGGCCGCATCGCGCCGTTGTGGCCTTCAGCTCTTTGGTGAAGTGCTTCAGGTACGCGTCGGAGGCGTCACCCAGGAACTTGAAGAGATCGTCGTGCAGCCGGTCGGCATGGGTGCGGTAGATGACGATGTCGGAAATGGCCAGCACCTTCAGGAGGAGGCGCGTGCGCTGGCCTTGATGGGAGCCCGCCCCCAGCAGGCCCTCCGTGTCGATGACCACCACCTTGTGGATGGGGTCCAGCGCCGCCCACACGCCCACCGTGCAGGACTCTTGGGTGGCTGAAGTCTTGAAGACCTCACGGCCCAGGAAGAAGGTGTGGTTCAAGGTGTGGGACTTGCCCTCCCCCGTGTTCCCGAAGATGGACACCACCTTGAGCAGCTGGTCAGGGGGGCAGTCCAGCTTTCTCACAAACTCGTCTTCGTCCTTCACCTGACCGGGGACCAGCTTGGTATAAATTTATTCAACAAAACAGCCCGCAGACAATTAGGAAATGAAAAAACTGATGGTCGAACAGAGATTCTGCGGTCTAATATGGCAAAAGGCTACTGATAGCTTATTGAGCTCTTTCAACCTTCGTCGTGGGTGGGCTTTTAGCCACACAAATAGACTCATCATTACTGACTGGTAGAAGAGGGAAAGACAGGTGTTGTCCAGGGACTGTCGCCGGCCTGTATTGCCAGCCAGAGAACGGTGTGCTGATTTAAATCGAGGGGAAGCAGTAACTCTACAACCCCCGATCCAAACTCACCTGCATTTCCTCATTCTCATCCACCAGCAGGAAGCTCCTGACTTTGTCCAGCAGCTGAGCCCTCAGGACCTCGGCCTCGCTGACGCCGGCGTCCACCGCTTTGGGCGGGGGGTAGGAGGCGAGCGGGTGCTTGCGTTTGTTCACACCGCTGTGCGTCCGCTTCTGGCAGTCCAGGCACAGGTTGATCTTGCAGCCCTGGCAGCGAACAGCCGCCCGGTGTCGGCCACCAGCCTCCCCCTTGCAGGAGTCGCAGAAAGGCACGTGGCCCGGCGCGACGCGGGTGCGCTCGTGGTTCTTCAGGCGCTCCTGCCGGTGGAGCTCCATCTCGCAGCGGGCGCACTGCAGGCTCTTGCACTCGTCGCACTCGAACGCCGCCTCCTCGGAGCCCCCGCAGGCATAGCTCTCCTGGCAAACCAGGCTGCCACCGACTCCAGGACCTTGGCCACTCATTATTGCTCAGTATTGAAATGATACACCTTAGTATATGGGCCGTGACCCCAAATGATTAAATATAATTATATCTACAAGTATATTCTTCACTATTGCAATCTATTTAAATATACATATACACATTTATTTTAAAGCTATTTCAAATGCTTTGTTTTTTGATCTTTATGTGTACAGTGTTGATTTTATACGCTACCCGTTTAAATAAATTTGACTCCTAGCTTTCAAATTTCAGACACCTGACTTGGCAAGACCCCTTAACAATATAACATTATTTCCCTTCGCAAAACTTCAAGTTGAAACAGTTATTCAGGCAATGAAATGCAAACGTGAGTTAAACACTGATATTATGATTTAGTGCAAACACCAATAATGCCCTTGCATCGACAACAAAAGAATGACATGAATCGACCAGGTGGTATGACTGCAATTTCCGTTTACGTTAAATGTCTAATGTCATTTAAATAAAACTTTGTCTTAAAAAACTAAACTTAGACAACATCAAAACAAACAGCCAGAATAACGAAACCTTCCCAATGAACGCGACTGGTTCACTTGCCTCTGGAGGGACCTCTGTAAACATGACATTTAAAAACTTCAATAATTTCCTAAATTGGCAAGGTAAAAAAACATACCTGAAACAAGCCCAATAGACTAAAAACCATACGTGAGACTAACTACGATGAAAAAACAGACACACCAATGACACTTCCAGGAGATCGAATTGCCCTTAATGTGCGATTAAACAAGCAAATCGTGCGGTTTACGTTCAATTTACAAGATTAGCGTTTAAAAAAGACGGAACCGGTGTGTATTGAATAATACTGTCACGAACACAGAAATCAATGTTTACCCCACAACAAAAACAGAGTCGCTCTATAAAACTGGATAGTGACTCAGTAATCCTAGCTAGCTACCGGCACGTTAACAACAGAGACACGTCTCTCTTGCCAACAGTTAAAACTTCATCACCGTCTCAGGAGTTTCAAAAAGTCGAGCTTTTCAGTAAAGTGCGGCTTTGTGTAGCGAAGGCATTGTTTTTTGTTAGCTGAGTTCCCCTCCCTGATAGACCTCCCAGAATGTTGTTGCCAGGTCAGATCAGCTGATCAGGGTATTTTCAGTCACAGGTCAAATGTCACAATGGTGTGTCTACTGTTGCATTCTGGGTAATGCAGTGTAAATCGTGTGTATAGGTGATAACGCTAACCCTTTCTTTATGTGGAAAACATTTAAGCACAGGGAAAGCGTAATTACTTCACGTCTATATTAATGAGAACATGTAGACACGCATCTGAATGGGGAGTATATAGTAACAGGGAGAATGTAGTCATTAAATGTTAATATTTTGCAGCGTTTTTCCTTCTTTGTTACTCGAGTTGCTGCGGACTACAAGTCCCATTGGTCATCTTGGATTTTGACGTTGTTTTGAATTTAAAAAAGATTTAGCAGTTTATATGCCGTATACTGTAAACTTTAACTTAATGCGGCAAACTACGCCTTCTCTACAGCGATATTTTAAAAATTAGAAATGTACCGAAAAAAAACGTAAGTTCCTTCATTTTTTTTTATCTTAAAGTGATTTTATAATATCCCCACACCTTTTCATATTTTGAATTTCCACAGTCATTATGTATGTGAAAAATACAGTATCAGACAAAATGTTTTACAACACAGTTTGGTTAAGAAAATAATAAAAGTAAATGGTGTTAAGACGGCAATCATTTTTTTCCATTAGGTGCTAGCCCTTTTTTCCTCAACGAATGAAGTATTTTGCCCATAGAAGCGTGTTTCAATTTCCCAGTTAGTGCTTTCATTTATATTCCCCTCTTAAACTTCTCTTTAAAAGATGGTCTTAACGTAAAATGAACTGCCCTTATAATCTCACGGTACTTATATCTATTCGATTTTTTTTTATTTGGAGGGCTGTTTCACATATAGATCATATATTTTGCGCCAGTAGGGGGCACTAAATATCAGACTTTTCGTAGGTTCAGAGAACTTCAGATTCGTTTAAATCTGGTCCTCGGGACTTTGCCAGGTTTCGTTCCAGCCATGAATGGCTGTTAGAAAGCAGCGATCGGTTTGTCAGAAATGGTCACATCTACTCATTAGTCAGTCGCTGAATTCTCATATGCTGCTCATGCTTAATTAAATGAAGTACATTTTTTTCATTTTCTGAATGACGGACTAAAGAAAGAAAACGGTAACATAAGAAATGCAATGCAACTATAATTAAACTATAACACTATAAGGACATGTCAACTTTAACTATTCATTTATGGAACACACACGCACACACACACACACACACACATATATATATATATATATATATATATATATATATATATATATATATCACCCTGACCAATGTTGAGAACCTGTACTTGACAGAAACTGCAAGTGCTCTTCAAGGAAGATTAAAATCTTATTCCTGTCAAAGGTTCGCTTAACCTGGCAAACCTGTTTCCGAAGGTTTTGAAAAGGGAGATCAGACGAGGAACAACAGTTCAGTCTTTCCCATAATTATTTTCCTATGTACACTCATTATGCCATGTGAGAATATTTACCTAATATGATCCATGACCCTTTAAAGCAAACCTCGGTGTGAGTATAATCAGATTATCTCCAGATTCTTCTGGAGAGAATAGCTCTATGCACGGTAAGTTTATACATTTTTCTGAGACCTCTATCTGTAGCACAAAACTGGAAGCCATATGTTTTATCTACCCTCTTCATTCTGAAATACCTGCCCGGTTACCAAAGTAAGAAGCACTAGTTCCATTGTGCATCATTCTGCCTGTACTCTTAAGAAAAAGGGACTCTGTCGGTGCTCTCTCTTTTTCGTATGTTACTGAATAGCTGCAGGCCACCTCGCCGACACACAGCGAGAGCTCTTCCCCAGTTGGCTTCATCACATTTTCTATGGTTTTCATAGCCCTGTTAAGTTGAAACAGCTATGTTTTCTCTCACTATCCATCTCATTATTGCTTTGACAAGTACCTATTAAAGTCTTCTTTACTGACACATTATTACCCAATCCTATAGTACCAGGTGTCTTGCAAACTAGAGTCTAACTGGCATTCATTGTTTTGTTTGATATGAATTTATTGCATATAACTATCTTTAGCAAGTGAAAGCAAAAGTCCCATTTTGCTATGTAACACTACCTGAGATTTCCTTCTCGCAGATTTCATGACTATCTACCAGGCAGAAGCAGTTTAACTTGCTAATCAAGTGGGCCAAAGTCCTACCACTTCCCTGCCTGCGTTTTTCCCTCCATGTGGGTCACCATTTGTATGTCCCTGGGGTGCGAGGCCCCGGAGGGAGCAGGGAGAGAAATTTCACGGCTCTGTTTTGGTCAGCACGTCGGGGTGGTGGCGAGGGCCCCCAGCAGGTTAACGGTTCTACCAGCGGGTGTGAAACAGCCAGGAACTGGGCCTGAGGTGTGAACTCGGGAGTGTCCTGACCCACACCTCATCCCTTATAAACAGAGATCATAAACCCCCACCCCCCCGCCACACACACACCCTTTAAAGATAGATAATACACTTTTTATCTGTGATGTCTGTTTGTTTAGAGCAGTGTCTCCCAAACCAGTCGTCAGGGACCCACAGCTTGTCCACGTTTTTGCTCCCTCTGAGCTTCTTGCCAGACAGTGCATGTTTTTGCTCCCTCCCAACTCCCTACAGGGAGCTAGGAGGGAGCAAAAACATGGACCGGCTATGGGTCCCCGAGGCCCGGACTGGGAAACACAGGTTTAGAGCGTTAATTGGCTTCAGTCTGGCCATTTCCACCTCACCTTAATCTGTCTCATTCGATCCATCCGTGTGAGAAGTGATAATGGTTTGGCCCTGGGGGTCTCCATGTGTAGCATAAACACATATTCCTGTAATAACAGAAAATGTGTGTCATGTAGCAGTTTATCCTCCATAACAGAAGCCACCACCCCTGGAAGGGGACAGATTGATGGATTGGGGACGGAGCCGCAAGGCTGAGGGTTTCCCGCTGAGTGTCTTCAGCAGGAAACCGCCCCTCTAAGCCGGGAGTCTCCCCCCAACTTGCTTCTCAGGATGGGGGCAGGGAAGGTGGGCGGGGGAGATGATACACCCACCCTACACCAGTGCCCACACAGTGCCTGAAGTGAAAAAGTGTGACATTTATAAGGGATGACAGAAGAGCTAAAGCTATAGCACCCTCCTGCCCCCTCCCCCCCCCCACCCCTAGACCTGAGGGGCCACCACTTTCAATCCTGCCTCTGAATTTCTGGAGCAGCAGTGCTACTCTGCTCTGGGCTATGTGCTAATGACAGCCAGAGAATTATTATGTTACAGAGTCTAATAATAATTCAAATTACAGTACTGTGCCTTGCACTCCGCTCATTGGTAGCCACTCAAAAGTTCACACAAAAGCCTTTTATCTTCCCCTGCCTTGCAAAGCTACGCTATGTTCTTTTTTTTTTTTTTAATAGCCATGGTTTTTGACTTGCCCTAACCTCCTTAGGAACAAAAGGCTTCCCGAAACTCCACCTACACAGACAGCCCTCCCCTCTTATTGGTCTGTAGCCTAAATTACCGTCAGTTGTGTTGTGTTTGAATTTTGGCTCAGGGCTTTCGATAACGCCTTCTCCCATGTGATGGGCGATTGCTGTACGCTGACAGGTGTCTCTGTTTCTCTTTCTCTCTCTCGCTGTAGTCGGAGGTCACCTGCCTGCTGGGGTTTTGTCTGGTATGGCTTGTTTTTTTTCTTCCCATAATCCTTTGATCCCAGAGGCCCTCATCAGTTGCGGTGGGCAGGCGGGCAGGCAGGCTCTGTCCACACCTAGGCTTCCTGTTGGAATCCCATCCCCGACAACTGGAACAGATCGATTTTCAATCCTTTACAAACAAACTCTTTGAACCTGTGTTTGTGGGTGGGTCTGTTAAGGAGAACAAACAACTACCTTTCCCCACCCAGTCTCCAGACAGGTAGCTCCAGTAACCCAGTATGTGATGGTATACGTATCTATCCTCCTTGAATATGCCATACAAGACCCAGAAAGGTTGTCACAGTTGTAGCATGCACTGGTTCATCTTACATTATCATCCAGTATCTATAGTTTCTGACTTAACTTCCTAATCAGTTTATGTGACTTTAGGGTGTAAAAGTTTAGGATCTGTGACATCATACTTATTAGAATCATACTACTGTATTTATGTCCGGCAAATGGTTTCGGTGAAGGTGGCGTCCCCTGGAGCTCACTTGGGGTATTGTCCCACATTTCGAGCAGGCGGCGACCTAAGGCTCAGCTGCTGTTGCTCACCTGCAGCTGACGGTACTTGTGCTGTCGCGTTTGGAAAGGCGACCTTCATGAATCATCTCAGGAAAACAGATGCTGAGTCACAGACATCCTTCACCCAGACAGCTGGGAAGATGGCGGATTTCTGGGCTTAAATATCTTAAGATACTTGAATAGTTGTCTCACCTGGTTGTTGACTGGGACTTGAAATTTTGAAAAGGTCTGTCACTGTATTTACAAACCAGAGGACATAATAGATTCTTCTTTCACTATGCTGTAGATAAATGAACACCACGCATACCATAAATTATGAATCTATTATTAGCACCCCTTGTGAAGATTTGTTAAAAGGTTTGGAAAAAAATCCACCTTTTGGTGAAGTAGCTTCATCTCACACTGAAAAACTGAGAAGAATCCAGGGGCCTAGCAGCCCAGATGATCTGGAGAGATTCTGTAAAGAGAAATGGACTCAGATGCCCTGCTTGGTATTCCCCAACCATATCAAACGCTATAGGAGACTCAGTGCTGTTACACTGGCAAAGGGAGGTTCTATTACATGCTGGGGTTCCAATAATTGTGGCACATGTGTTTTTGTTGAAAATAATTATTTCTTTTTTTATTTCAACGGATTTTTCTCATTTTCTCAGTGTGAGATGAAGCTACTAACCATTTACAAATCTTGACAAAGGGTGGCAAATAATTGCGGAGGGCACTGTACTTGGACTGAGCAAAGGTTTAAATTTTATGGTTGCCCATCTGGTGGTATTTAACTCTAGGGACGAATTCGTTGTCCTACAATGAAAGCCACACCTTACCTGTGACCTTTAAAAGAGGCTTGAGATGTACCCAGGCTGACATCACCAGCTTCCAGCTACAAAAGGATCCAAACGGTGTGTTATCTAAAAAGATCTGGGGGCAGGATTTTTGCCATACTTCTCCTGGGAGGTGTGTGGGCATCTGTTTCCTGCTGCGTTTGCGAAGTGTAACTTTCTTTCATTCTTTGTGAATATGGCCGTGGCTCTGAACACCAGGTTTTATTCCATGTCTGCCAAATTAGCTGTCAAAGGCAGGACACAATGGCCTGGGGGGGGGGGGGGAGGGGGGGGGGTCAGCAGTATTATTAGGTTAATCTCTCCTTTTGCGAATGACTCCTTAAACCTGGTTGAACAGCAAGACGGGGGCGGCACAGTGAATAAGAGCCTCTTACAAAAGGGTCGGCTTCCCTCGCTGGGCCGAGCGCAGCTGTCAAATGGCCCAGCCGAGCCCAGCGTCTTTTTCCACCCCCCAGGACTGAGCTGGGGCCTGAATTCCCGAAATCAGCCCCATGCGGCACAGGGTTGCAGAGCGGATTTCCACAGGACCAGCTGTTTACCTGTGAGGACATAAACCTGTAACCAAAAAGCTGTTGAAGAGGAACCCTATTGTTAAACTCTTGAACACAGTACATGACTCAAATTTTTCCAACCAATTACCAAACAGCAGTGTGTGGCTCAGTGTTGTGAGTCAAAGCCTGGGAGTGTTACTGCATGATTGGCCCTTAAGTGAGGCCCTTAGGCCCAGTTGCTCCAGGGACTGGTTGACCCTCCTTTCTCAACTGTACATTTCATTGAATCAAAGTTTCTGCTAAACAAAAATAAGTAAGCAGAGGTTGATAACTCAGGTCCAGAAAGTTAATACCCAAGATTTTGTTTCAGCCAACGTGTTGAGTACCCTGTCACTATGACTCTGTATACTGAACTGGTTGGTTGAAACAAACTCATGGACTGGATTTTTACTTCTGGACCTGAACTATCCACCAATATACGTGAGTTACTTTTGATGAAAACACCAGCAGGAAGGCAGGAATTCCCGGGTATCTGTCAAAAACAGGTGTTTCAGAGGAAGGTGTGGATGCTTTTAATCTGAAAGCAGGAAGAACAGACAGACTAAAGTTTCAGCATTATTCTGATGAACCAGAGGAAAGCCCCATGTTCACAGGAGCGCCCTGTATTCAGGCAAGGAAAACATTACGGAAATGCTGAAATCAGAAACGTCATTCAAGTGTCACATTTTATCGTCACGTGTTTTTAATCCGCTTCCTCCCAAAGGCTGTATTCGGCTGTGCTGTCACTGGTCTCCGAAAGAGCGCAGTCTCCTTTGTACTTGCTGCGTGGTCATCCATCCTCACAGAGAAGAGAAGAATCTGGACCCTCGTGGAAGCCGGGGTTCCCTTGGATGGGAGCCAACCGTTTCGTGGCCCGGAGCAGCAGCTCAGTGTTTTGAAGGAAGCTTAGATGACCGGTTCGTCGGGGTCACCGATGAGCTCATCTGGTCTGACAGGCTTTGGAGTCTGAATGGAGGCCTGGCGCCGGTCGGACCTGCTTGGTGAGGAAATGACAGCAGGCTGCACTTGCCGTTACAACAGCTGAGCTAAACAAGCCTGAGCACTGGATATGTTACTCAGCCCCTAATTAAATGGCACCTTGCATTGAACAGGGCAGCCATTGTTCATTTCGGTATGGAATTGGCGCAAGGGCCTGGCCAGGAATGAGTTGAAGATGATTTTTTTTTAATATTATTGTAGTACTGAAGACCAGTTTAATAATTCACAACATTCTTCTTTTAGCATCCTGGCACACAAGAGTTGGTCATCCTCCAGACACAAGCAGAACATTCTGGGTTTCCCCGCATGACCTGCCAAAAGACCTCCCTGATTTTACGCTTCTGCAGCCAGTGGAAGAGCAAACAGTTTCAAAGGCGAACCTCACCCAGGCCTTATGGGTCCTGGACTATTTAGCTCTGGTGCTGAAATCTACCTGCTGATGATAAACTATGTGTCATAGACAGTTACAGCTCATGCATCATGAATAATGATGTGAGCAGAAGGCAGTGCGTCATGTCACATGACACCTGGCTACATGATTAGTATGAAGCCATGAACTGTAGCATAAATGGGAACCACCTTTAATCCAATTAGACCTCTGTGGCCAAAGGCCTTATTTAAAGGGCTTTTCTCGTGTAAATTTGCCACCTGAATGTGACAGCAGGCAGCCAATTTAAAAGTCTTCTCCCACTCCCTCCCTCCCCACTCCCTGCCCCCTCTCCCACACACACACACACACACACACACTCTCAAAATTTATGGCCTCCCCAGTCTGTTGGACACAATGTGTCTCTCATTGCTTTGGGCCATGCAGCAAAACCCCCCAATGTTTCACCCCAGCCGTGATGCAGCCCTACCCAGTCCTCTCCCTCCATGTCTCTTTGTGTCACACGTGACCTGACAAGCTGTGGATTCAAAAAACAAACCAGTCAGCCTGTACTGTGTACGAGTTCATTTCCCGGGGGCAGCACAGGACAGCACTGTCAGTATTACCGGGCAGCTTGGAGCCTGTCTTTGGTGAAATCTTACATTCTGAGCCCTAAGCAGACCACAGAAACTAAGCAGACCAGAACCAGTCGTATTTGAAATGACTCACTGAACAATGCATTTGTTTGTACGTTATAGTCAGGTATTAATTGCTTAATGGAACCAAAAAAAAAATTGGAAGTGCATAAATTCACATGTCTGACTGAAAAATAATTGAGGTTTAAAGTTATAAGCCTTTTTTTTTTGACGATGTGTGTGAGAATTTAAATAATTACTGTCTGCCCCACTACATCTCATTTCCATAACTATGGACATTATCCCAAGGCCCCCTTATAATTGTTTTAGGACCCCACAGGTGGCCCCAAAGTGTCTCTCTTCCTCCCTCTCTGTTCCACGTGCAGCCAGGGTTACTAAAGCCCGTATAGAGCTAATGCTTTACATTAAAAGCCCTGTGAGTCAAGTTACATTGGGTTCATGTTTTATTAATGGATGCAGGTCTCTTTAATCACACCCTGCATTTTCACTTGTCACTATTTTGCGTTCTTCTTTCTTTATTTGTATCCCGGCCAATCCAGTGAGGATGGTGTTAGACCAGGTGCCACCTCGGTGATGCGCCCATGGGACGTGCATTCTGATTGGATAAGGATCCTATGGTCCATCCCTCCACGGCCACTCACATACAGCAGTGCTGCAGGCAGTGACCGTCCTCTCCGCCCTGCATTTGAAAGTTTACCTATAGAATCCCCCCACCCCCACAGTCTTAAATCACTGAACCCCCACCGATGTAGTCTGAATGCATCTTCAACAATGGCTATTATTCTAAATAGTCAGGGCAGTTCCTCACATTTAGTCATTAAATTAAAGAAAACATTATAGTCTTTTAAAATCTGCTGTCTATTCTAGATTTAATGACTCCTCTAATGGGTAATTATTAATTGCAATAATAATTATTACATGTTGAATTCTGTATTTTTTCTTGACATGGCGTCCTATAGAGCACATTCTGTACCATACACATGCATACTTATGATACGTAGACAGACTTTCACTGAGTGGTGATTCACTGTTGCAATTAATCATAAACCATCTTAGGCTACCTTCAGTTTGCGGTGCTGGTCCGTGCCCCGGGGGGGTCGCATTGTCATGCCCGCCTATCGACTCTGTTAGCCCCACCCCTGCCCGCTCACTCCACTCTCTTCTTCATGGGTGTGACCCTGATCATCACCGAGGGATAACTTGTCTGTTCCATTCTTCTTTTCCATTCCATTCTTCTTCCAACTGCTTACCCAGTACAGGATAGGGTCCAGCCCCAGGAGTCCATCCCTGCTGGAAGCACAGGGCAGTAGGTCGAGGTAGACCTTGTGGGCAGAGATGGATAGTCCAGGCCCAGAAAGCAGAAGTCCAGACCAAGATCTTGTTTCAACCAACTAGTTAAGCATAAAGAGTCACAGTCTTCAGTACCTGACTGGTTGGTTGAAGCAAATTGTTAGTCTGGATTTTTACTTTCTGTACCAGAACTATCCAACCTGTCTGTGTTGGATCCTAGACTGTCACAGTGGACACTCTTACCTACACAGAACTGAATCATACATAACATAAATTAAAAACTGAATTAATGGAACTAGTACTTACATGAAACGCAATAGTGTAATTATGTTTTTTTGTGTTATTGCTGTTATTATTGTTCCTGGTATTTCTACCAGTTTTCTAAATTAAAAAAATAATAATAAAAGAAGAAAAAATAAAAAATGCGGGCAGTGGTGGCTTGATGGTTAAGGAAGCGCACTTGTAATTGAAAGATTGCAGGTTCGAATCCCCGACCAGCAAGGCCCCAGTGAGGTATCCTGAGCAAGGTACCGCCCCCAAGCACTGCTCCCCGGGCGCTGAATTAGCTGCCCCCTGCTATGTCACGATGTCACATATGGGTTAAATGCAGAGGACACATTTTGTTGTTGTGTGCTTGTGTTGACAATGATCACCAAATTCTAAATTTTAGTGGACCAGCTGGCTGTATTCGGGGGGGGGGGCGCAGGGCTATGGGCGCCGCGGTGCAGGGAGGGCTGCTCAGCAGTGGCGTGTTCTAACAGGCTATTCGCGGAGCCAGGGGCGTCCCGTCACACAGGGAGTGTAATTTACACACTTCACTGTCGCTTAAGTCTGGGAAAAGTAAGAGCACGGCCCTCAGCAAGCCTGACGAACCCACAGAGGCGGCCGCCGCGTCTCTTCTGCTCCCGCCGCTGGGAGGGGCCCCGGGCCGCTGCTGGGGGTGACCGTGCCTCTACTTGCCACTCTGGAGCGCCACTCCAGGAGTCCCGTGTCACAGCAACCCCCACTGCACAGCGTGTGAGAAAGAGGCCCCCCCGCCATTCCCAGAGCAGGATGCGGTCACATGGCCGCTCTCTACCAATCGAAATGCACCCCGTTATGCAAATCTGCCTAGACCTTGAGTACACAACTGTTAGTATCTTGCCATGTTTTCGAAGGCAACTGACTGAAAATAAACACGGTGCGTATTTTAATGGTACTAAGCTTTCTTCCCATGTGAATTTAATGCAGTGTGAAAACTTCAAAGGAACATCACAGGTGACTTGTAGGTTGGCATTGTAGCTGCCATGAACGTCATAAACTTAAGAACAGACCTAATATAAAAAATAAAAATATCAATGGTCATATTTCATGGAAAATGAGAAGTTCGCAGTGCACTTAATTCAATCTTTGGAAAGAAAAGATGCAGTTTTAGATTAAGGTGTACATCATCACTCAATGGATTCTATTGGTCTTTGGCTGAATACTCTGTTGATGGTCAATCCATCTGCAGACCTTTTCAGTTGCAAATGAAGGGTCCACTGTAGAAAGACAGATACAAGCCAGTAACTGTAGAGTTGATGTGTACTGGACTTACCTCTACTGTGCGTGAGTAGGACAACTAATTAAGTGCTCATTTGCATGTGTGAATACATGTATAATTAAATCCACTCATCTTCCGAATTGTTGTCCTGGTCAGGATCAATCACATGTCAGGCAGCAGAGAGTACAAAGCTGGGGTATGCACTCCTGGTCCTGGCCGAAAACAATTGACTAAATCTAAAATTGCAAAACAGTATGGTTTTAATGTTCTCAGGAGCAAATAATTGGTCAGGACATTAGCAAGAATTAAGCACATAGATAGAGTACCTAAGCATTTATCTTTGATATCTTTAAATGTTTAAGTCTCCTAGGTAAACTTGGCAGACAGTTTTTTATAGAAAGAAAACCCAGTGTTGTTTCGCTAAATGTCAATGATTTCAAACAATTGACAAGTAGTTAAAAAATGTTACCTGGTTAGTTTAATGCGAGACTTATATTCTCTATAGGGTACAAATCTGGACTCTGAGGAGACAATTTTGGGTTTGGCCCATATTTTCCGCCCAGGAGTATACATGCACACACAAAAGACGTATTTTCACTTAAGCACATCTAAACTATTAGCAATGAATAAGTTGTACTCATATCTGAAACCACTGCTACTGAACACAAAATTTATAGGTATATTATGTCTTTTTATGATTATATGGTTCCACCTACAAAGGCTTACTTTCTTGTTTTTTTGAATATGAAAATTTAAATAACTTTACAATATAACATTATACATTGACTTACAATCTAACTTACTGAAACTTTAAATTTAAATGAGTGACATTTACATTGTTAAATAATGATGACTGTTTGTATAACATTGTACATTATTATTATTATTTATTATAATTATTAACCTATAACCTAACTTTTGATTGAAAATATACATTTAAATAATTGAAATATAAATTGTTAAATAATGTGATTGTGTGTAATACATGTACATTAATCCACAACATAACAGCAAATCTGATCTGATGCCAATGAACTGGAAACAAAGCAGGGATATTATTTGCATTCATCTTTGAACAGCAGTTGAACTACTTGGCAAATGTCCAGAGGCTCATAGAGCTGAGAGTAAGTTTACCCTCTGCTTCCTAGTTTCATGTTTCAAGGCTTCTGCATCCAAGGTGCCGGACAACGTTTGTGCATTTGTCCTGCAGAGATTTGGGTTAGGGTTAGGGTTAGGTTAGGGTTAGGGTTAGGTCCCAGCTGGGACACGATCCCATAAGCCTCACTAGGCAACATCCATAAATCATAACACGAGACCCAAGAAACACTGCACTGCAGATAAACATGTTGCCCAAAACACCAACCAGCCATGCAGGCAGTTTCTGTTTTTCAGCACTTCCTGCACGCCTGAGTTCGAATTGGCCCAAAGAGTCCCAGCCACAGAGCCCCGGGCCATAACTGTCGTCTCCGAGGTGGATGGCCCGTGTCGCTGGGGGAGCCGCCCGTGCCGGCGAGATGCACCTGTCGGTTCCCATGTGCTCTGCCAGGAAATTGCATCAGTGAAACTCCCAAACTCCGAAACTGGCCACGCGCCAAAAACGGTGCTAGCTAATTTCGCCCAAGCCTTGGGAACGAGAAACAGCCCGGCTCCTGGGAGAGTCGGAAGACAAAGGATGACTAATGCTGACTTCAAACCACAGGGCGAGAAGCACAGCTCACCATTCATGGGAATCTGATTCCGACAGGTTTGACTGCTCTTGCCCAATGCATTGGTTGTTCTTCTGTGACATGTTCTGTGAGGTAGGCGGACATTCAAGGAAACCGCTTCAGTGTGTTTCGTCATGTGTGCGTGTCTATATGCATGTTTTTCTGAGTTTAATCCCCAGTCTTGTGGATACTCTGTTTCAAAACAAAGAGACCCCCAAACAGGGCATGTACCAAGGTTCCTCTCACGCTGGGCTTCCTTTGCACCGACCCTGAGCCCGCAATTCCAGCATGTGATATGGTTTCACGGGTCATTCCATCTGTCATTCCATTTCCTCCCTTCTGCGTTGTATTTTCGATTCTAGCAAACTCAAAACCACCAAACCAAACCAAAGATGTACATTTTATTTATTTATCAGATGCTTTTATCCAAAGTAACATGCATTTTTGAGAAAACAGGGTCAAAGAATTGCTGGAGCAATTGGCAGTGAAATCACTCTGCCTATTACTGGGATTTGAACTGGTGACCATCCAATCACACACTGCCGCCCACTTCACTCAATCTGGACTTTAACTTTTAAATTACAAAACCAATACTGAATAAGCTCCAGAAAAGGTCAGGAAAATCTTCCCATTGACAACAGAATACAATGCATCTAACTTTAAAGTGCCATGCTGATGTTAACCCAGGGCATTACGAAAGCTTGTCAGTTGCATATCAGATTGCATGTAGTCCCTGATGCAGGTTTGATGCGGTACCTGGGAGCGAGGTGACTCTGGCCAGTCACACTGTATACCTCACACTTTACCTGCCAAGACACGTTGCAGAAAGCACACAGCCAGTGTGTTTATCCTTCCAAGTAAAGAACCTTCTTCTGGTGAAGCCTTGTCTTTGATGGTATACTTTGATATCCTGTGGTTTGCATTCAAATGACCCATGGAGAGCTAAGTGCCTTTTAATAATGTGACCCAAAACCTTGACTAGCAACAATGGTCAATGTTAAGCGTTTTATTCTCCATAGAATAAAATGAGAATTTTTCAAATCTAGTTAGTTGATATGTTGGATCTGTGGCTTTCATACAGGAAATTTCTTACACTTGGCCGATATTTATTACAATTTCATAATTCTGGGGAAACTGGAGATAAGAAACAGGAAAGAGGCGGCGGGTGTTCTCTTTTAGAATTAATCGTCATTGAGAAAGTTAGTTTGAAAGAGGTGACCACTCTGCCTTGCAGCTTCAATAAATTAATCGTCAAATGAGATGACATTCACATGATTGTGAGTTACTTCTAGGAAGTGGGGAAGTAAGTGAAGTGGAGGTATGGGCAGTCTCAGGGTGGGGGGGCTCCTCTCAAACCTCAGTTTTGTCACTGGTGGATTCCAGCCAGGGTTGCCTAGGCAACTGAAGGTAGGTATACCTCACTGCAGGGGGTCTTTTTTCACAGTGTCATCAGAGATGCAGCTGTGTGTGTGGGGGGGGGTGGGCTGGAATGAGGAGGGGGGGCATATGGAACAGCCAGCAAATAGCTAACAGGACCTATGCTCCTGTGTCCATCCCCATTCACCTGGGCTAGACCACAGCGGCATGCCCATTATAGACAGTGACTCACCTTTCTTCCTGCTTATATGTTTAAAAAATGAGGTCATTCAAAAAAAGACTTCTCTATCAACATTGCCGGATGTGATTAAGATCTTCTGTCACTGGTCTGGGGCAGTGTTTCCCAATCCAGTCCTAGGGGACCCACAGCCAGTTCACATTTTTGCTCCCTCCAAGCTCCCCACCAGACAGTCCATATTTCTGACTAAAACGTGGACTGTCTGTGGGTCAGTTTTATATGGAAATGAAAATACTGAGCTTTATGGGATGTAAATTGGAGGATCGGGTGCTGTTATTTTGTAGAATAACCAGGATTAACAAACAGCAGGTATAACTTTACCCCTATGTATGGTTTGGTATTACAGTGTAGCGGTTGGTGGTAATTTGTGTATGTACTCAAATTACAACGGTGCTTCTGAGGGGAACTGGTTCACCTCAGGTAACAATGGTCGGAAACCTTCATCCTGAGCCATATATCTACCTGCTGTTCCTGTACAAAAAAAAATTGGCCAAACCTGAAATTGCAAAACAAAGCTTTTAATGGTCAACAGCAAATACTTTGTCAGAACATTAGCTAGAATTAAACAAACAGAAAGTAACTCAACTTTTCCCTTTGATGTGTTATAAATGTTTATGTCTTGTGGCAAACTTGCGGACAGTCAATGTTTTTCCACTACATGCTAATAACATCAAGCACTTGACAAGTACTTGAAAATCATTTCCTAGTTAGTGTTTAATGTGAGACCAGATATCCTTTATAGGGTTCAAATCTGGACTCCGACCAGGCAATTTAGGGCTTAACCCATTTTCTTTTGTCCAGAAGTGAACATTCTCACAATGGTGACACTGTAGGGCAGTTAGTGTGGCCAGTAGATGGCGCAGTGATTAAAGGCATAGCCCTATCGTATAGATTTCCCACTTTTGTACCCCTGAGGAAGGGTAATAAAAACTGAATTGCTTTGGGGAAAACAGCCAACGGTACAACTTGGTGAAAGTCTGGAAAATTGAACTAATTAGTGCCGAAACTACCACAGGGAGCAAGGAGGGGAAAGAAAAATCAGCCAGTTTCCTCCTGCTACGGCTTCCTCTTCACTGTGATCACTCCTCCTTCAGTGAAGGAGCAACCACAACAAGGCTCTTGGCAGGACGTCAACATGGAGATGCAAAGGTGCTCAATACATGCCTCCATGCTCACGCGAGGCATCAGGCGGGACCCACATTTACTAATAGAACAACACGGAGACTTAGGTGCATTTCATCGTAATTTATTTGCCAGCATTTCATGTAACATTCACACGCCAAGATTTCACTTATTCAAAACAAACTCTGGAAAAAAATGGCGTGTCTAATTGCCGACTGAAGTATTAGGAAACAGAGATGGTAGGATCAGTAGTCATCAAAAAGCTGATCGAACTGTTAAACAAACAGTACCGCTTGTCAAAAAAAACAACATAAAAACAAAAAGCTTCCACAAGAAGCATCAATGCAATGTTTACATTCATACATTTGTACGAATTCCTACAAAGAGTTCAAAATGGCTGCTGTGATATGATTCCTTCCAAGGTGAAGATTTCAATAAACATTAGAGAAAAACAGCCTGCAGCTTAAAACCAAAAGGAAAAAAATCAAAACTGTTCCCCCTGGGTTTCTGGACGCTGATTAGTGTGCCAGTTGCCCTAACGATCCAGGACCACATTATGAGCGGATATCAAACTTTTGAAATCCCTGCCCAAGGTGCTTGCTAAGGCCTGGGTGCGGAAGATGATCAGTCCTCCTTCCCGGCTTGGCCCGGAGCCATTGAAATGTGCATTGCAAATAAGTACCCTTGTAGTGGATTCAGTTCATGAATACAATGTCGAGGGGACAATGTGGGGCCCGTCGCCAGTTAACGGGGCGGCCAGGCAGACAGACACTGTAACCGACACCTACTGCGATGCCGTGACTTTAAGTTTAGCATATGAAAGACAGAGGCCCAGCAGGACAGCGGACTCTGAAAAGGCCAGTGGCCCCCAGGGTCCCGCGACTCTCTCCTCTCTGCCAACCGCCAGCTCAGAGAAGACGGCGGCGGGATTGGTGCGGATTCAAAACTGGCGGGCTCTTCCCATATCCACTGGGGGGGGGGAGTCTAGTCAAATCCAAAACCGTGTTAGATTTTCAGGTGCCCTTTGTATTTAAATCTGCTCCCCTTTGCTTCTCCCGTTTTGGTTTGTGCTCTGAATTCCATTTCCATTTCACCCTAACACTTTTTTTTTGGTTCTTAACTGAAATCCACCAAAAACTCCACGCGACCACTCGGCTCGGACTGGTTCCCCGGATCCAAACTGTCCTTCACTGAGGTGTTTATAAACAAAGGAAAGCTTGTCAGTTTCAATGGGTCAGGCTTTCTGCCTTGAATAAATTAATAAATTAGTCCTTGGTGATTTGAAGTACTGCTGGGCCATCAGACGAAACAGAAGAACTTTTTCCAGCCACACTTAGAGTATGTCTTTGTTCGGTCAGACATCTTCAGTTTTTTGGCTTTACGGGCCTTGTGCTTGATGGCAGCAAAGATGGCCGTGTCAAAAGCCTCTTTCAAGTTCTTCTGAGTCAACGCCGAGCACTCAATATAGTCCTGGGCTCGGATCTTCTCGGCCACGCACCGAGCCCGAGAAGATAGGATTGGCTTGACTTTAAAGCGGTCCAGGTTGATGAGGACATTAACATCATGTCGGAGGTCGGTCTGTGTCCCCACAAGGATGATTGGCGAGGCTGGGTTACAGGCCCGGATCTCCGGAACCCACTTCTTTGTGATGTTCTGGAAGGATGTAGGGTTGACAACGCTGAAGCAGAGGATGAAGACGTCCGTGTGAGCATAGCACAGTGAGCGGAAGCCGTCAAACTCCTCCTAGAGATCAGAAGCCACTTTAGTAACAGGGTTAAAATGTGCCAGTATTGTAATAAAGATCAAAAGTCAAAAAATGCAACTTCACTCCAAGATGGTATTCACAAGGGCAAGCAACAAGTTAATCATAGAAATACGTCACATGGAGATTTAAAAAACTACATTTTTTTAAATATAAGTCATGGTGTCTTGCGTTATGTTAAACACAAGGGATAACTTCTGCAAAAGCCATTGCGAAATCACAAGAAATCAAAATACACGGAGGACGCGATAATGGGTGGACTTGAGTGTGGGAGGTAAAAGTCGATTAAGTCCCCATTACGTCGAGAAGTATTCGTACCTGTCCGGCAGTGTCCATCAGCTGAATTCGTACTGGTGTCCCATCAACTTGAACCTGCCCTATTGCAGAAAAATACACAAAAAATGCGTTAAAACATAAATATTTCGATTTTGTTCCTTCTACATATTTATTTTGCGCATTTACACATACAACGATAAAATTTGGGATTGCTCCCTATTTCTTCGTACATTGCTTTAAGGTTGCAACAAAGTTTCAAAATATACCGCGAAAGCAAAGTATAACCGCGTGTTTAATGCCACCTATTGTAATCTGCTATATAGCTATTAGCTTTTCCAAACAAAAGAAAGGCTGCTCAGATTATATTTTAAAAAGTAATCAAGATACCGGAAAAGACGTCAAACGCAGTCTGCTGGTATTCCATAGGGTATCCATTGGAAGTATAACTGACGATCATGCTGGTTTTGCCCACGGCACCGTCTCCCACCAGCATGCAGCTGATAGCCGGCTCCTCATTATTTTCTTGATGCATGCACACTGACGGGACCCGTCTCTGATCGCAGTGGTAGTCCATTTGAGGGGGCATTCTTCAGCGGGTAGATCCGGGGGTCAGTGGCCGCACGGGGTTCAGCACAGTGCAGACAGCTCGGGACAGCGGGCGGCACGGTGCTCTCATCACCTCCAAGACTAACAGTGAGCTTGTCATTGCTCAGCTCTCGCTTTAGTACCAACTGTCCTAACAGGTTGTATTTGCATGGCCACTCCTCTGCGTGCCCAGTTAAGTCACGCACACAAATCCTTCCAAAAGAAAGTAAAAAAACCCTTGCCAGTGTAGATAAGACTTATACCGATCGTTTTATCAGACATTTGAGCGTACATTATTATTTAACCACAGTTTAAAAATTGTGTTGATCTGTTACGTGATAATCCTTTACGATATTAAACCACCAAAAATGTACTACTAACAGAACTAACACATCCTTAGTGAAGTGACACAGACAGACAAAGCTTCACTGGACAATCTGTCCGTCTTCGAATAAAAATAAAGTAATAAATGTCCAATAATTATGCTAGTATAATTAATACATAAATGAAAAGTTTACCTCATTTTGTATTTATTCATGTAGATTAACCACACCGAGTGCGCAATCTGACTCTTCATGTTGTGAGATTATCGGTGTCATTAATAACTGGTAGATGGCTCCACCTTGCGCCAGACGGACGCAATGGCTTGTTTTTCTCCCTTTTCTTGTAACACCGTCACGTGGTCGTGAACCACGTGATCGCAGATCACATGACCCTCCTTTCCTTGTCACTTTGTGCGAATTCTGTCAAACCCTAGAACCATGTAGATAAACGCTTATTTGTCAGATACGTATTTTATTTGGTGACTTCTGGGTCTATGTATTTTTTATTTTTTTTTCTGCCGTACTTGCGACACCAGTTAATTTCAGATCTCGAGTTATAGATATCTGGCTTCTCCTTACACAGCTAGCTGGCTGTGGAGCTCTTTTCTGACGCACTGGTGTGCAGTTTCATTTCCCCCTGCTAAAAAACCCTAGCGACTGCATATATGGCTTCGATACTGGACGAGTATGAAGACTCGCAAAATATGAGTCGCCCGGGTCATCAGAATAGAATTTCTGCCTCAAACATTGGGATAACTCATTCAGGTAAGCTTAAGGCCTGCAGAATGGAGGTACATCATCGCTACTCAATTGGGGTTCTTTTGTATAAATTCGCTTAATCATCTGACACGTTTACTGGATAATGTGAGGATGCGTGTACCGCAAAATGCAAGTAAACTCGTTTTGTAACTGCGATCATCGTACGTCGCAAGCTTCCGCTATCCATCCTAGCATTTCTACTGTCAGCTGACGAGGACGAGACAGCCCTTATCTCTTATTTACCGGGCGCTTTCCTCGCCGAGATACGAAGGAAAGTCGCATAGGTTTACGATGTCTGAGGATGAAGTGAGGAATAATTTGCGGATTTTTCCTGCAGGGTTTGTCAATGTGCGGCTGGAGGAAGAGAAGCCGATTTTCCACAAACAAAGGATCGACTTTTCACCTCCCGAAAAGATTAACTACTTTGTGGTGTGCAACAATCAGCTATGTATGAGTCTGGGGAAGGATACGCTGTTAAGGTAGGCTGGCAAGGGTTAAAACCACCAGACAAAAGGATGGGATTGAATTGAATTAGAATGCAGCAAACCCCCATTACCCGAAACTTTAAACCTTTTTGATTAAAACTGCCTTAGCTGATTTGATTAACTCAGATTTTACGGTGCACTGCAAATTAGTCAGTTTTTGAATGATGGGATTTTCTGGATAAATGCACATAAGTTATACATTTATTTCCTGAAATGTGTATTTTAAAGACGGAAGTTGGAATTCATTCTTTGACAGCCTAACCGTCAGTGATGCAAAACAAGGAACTGTTTTTGTACCAGTTTACTACTACTATCTAAGTTGTGCAACCTTACTGAATTTGTTTTAAAATGAACAAATGTGAAAGCAACAAGTGCTTTGGATGCAGTGTAAATAAAGTATATATTTTTCCTGATGCAGGATCGACCTGGGAAAACCTGACCAACCCAATCAGATTGAATTGGGTAGAAAAGATCAAAGCAGCATTTATAAACTTTTCCTGGATCCCACGGGTAAGCTGTGCTAACTTTTGTCAGAGGATGATGTGGAGGGGGTTCTTTTACTGTACATTTAAGTGCACAGCCCATTATCTGTTACATATATCTCTGATTGGATTGTCGCAAGAATTTCACAGGAATGTGCTGCCATTGTCGCAAGGAAGTCCAGACTCTGGCTGCATTTCTGGGCCAGATTAAAGACATTTAAGTGTGGTGTGGATTAGCATTTTTTGTGGTTGGGGGTTGTGCTGATTTTATAGCTGATGGTACGCTGTTATCTTACATACTTACTACTGTATAATAGGAGACTGTACCTGGGTCCCTGCTGTCTGGTACAGTTATGTGCATAATCTTACTGGTTCCATCCTGCAGGTTCCCATCTGGTGATCAGCCTAACCACAAACGAGTGCCTGTACCTGAACAGGAACACCCAGAAAGTGCGCAGCCTCTCTCGGTGGAAGGGACACATGATCGAGAGCGTGGGCTGGAACAAGCTCTTGGGTACGGAGAGCAACACGGGCCCCGTGCTGGTGGGGACGAGTCAGGGTCTGATCTTCGAGGCCGAGATCTCTGCCTCAGAGGGCAGCCTGTTCAACACTAACCCGGACCAGTACTTCAGGCAGGTCCACTCTCTGGAGGAAGATGGCGACCCTGCGCCCGTCTGCTGCCTGGAGGTGGAGCGGGGCCTCGAGTCCAAGTACTTCATCATCGCCACGACACGGAAGCGCCTCTTCCAGTTTGTGGGGAAGGTGGCGGATGGCTCAGAGCAGCAGGGATTCAGCTCCATCTTCAGTCAGAACCAGGACCTCCTGCCCAGCTTCCAGGAGTTTCCGGTGAACATGGGCTATAGTGAGATCGCCTTTTACACCTCAAAGCTCCGCTCCTGCCCCAAGGCCTTTGCCTGGATGATGGGTAATGGAGTCCTGTATGGCCAGCTGGATTATGTCCGGCCCGACTCGCTCCTGAGCGATGTCCAGGTGTGGGAGTACGTGGACAACGTGCACACAGTGAAGCCTCTCTCCATCGTCCTGACACAGTTCCACTTCCTGCTCCTCTTCTCCGACCGTGTAAAGGCGGTGTGCACCCTGAACGGCCAGGTGGTCTATGAGGACGTCTTCCCAGAGAAATTTGGCGCCTTGAAAAAGATGCTGAAGGACCCGGTCTATGGGCTTGTGTGGATCTACACGGAGAAAGCCGTCTTCCGCTACCACATCCAGAGGGAGGCGCGGGACGTCTGGCAGATGTACATGAGCATGGAGAAGTTTGACCTGGCTAAGGAGTACTGCCGGGACCGGCCGGAGTGCCTGGACATCGTTCTGGCCAAAGAGGCCGAGCACTGCTTCCAAAACAAGCGATATGTAGAGAGCGCCAAGTGCTATGCCCTGACCCAGAATTACTTTGAGGAGATTGCACTGAAGTTCATAGAGGCGCGTCAAGAGGAGGCTCTGAAAGAGTTCCTGCTGAAGAAACTGGGCAGCCTCAAGCCTGCCGAGAAGACTCAGGTCACCTTGCTGGTCACCTGGCTGACGGAGCTCTACCTGAATCGGCTGGGCGTTCTGGAGGCAGACGACTCCAAGAAGAGCGTAGCCATGGAGACACGCAGCGAGTTCCGCAGCTTCATTGCCAACCCCAAATACAAGGACTGTTTGTACAACAACCGCAGCACCATCTACGATTTGCTGGCCAGCCACGGAAATGTGGACGATATGGTCTACTTCGCCGTCATCATGCAGGACTACGAGAGGGTCATCTCTCACCACTGCCAGCACGATGACTACGGCGCCGCCCTGGAGGTGCTATCTAAGCACTGCGACGTGAAGCTTTTCTACAAGTTCTCCCCCGTCCTCATGCAGCATATACCCACGCGGGTGGTGGAAGCTTGGATCAGCATGGGCAAGAAGCTGGATGCTAAAAAGCTCATCCCCGCTCTGGTCAACTACAGTCAGATTGGCAGCACCCAGCAGATCAACGAGACCATCCGATACATGGAGTTCTGTGTCTATGAGCTGACGGTGACGGATGAAGCCATCCACAATTATCTCCTGTCCCTCTATGCGAAGTACAGGCCAGACTCGCTCCTGTGGTACCTGGAGCAGGCTGGCATTCACGCCACGGACATCCACTACGACCTCAAGTATGCACTGCGACTGTGCGCCGAGCATGGGCACCACCAGGCATGCGTCCTGGTGTACAAGATAATGGAGCTGTATGAGGAGGCTGTCGACCTGGCTCTGCAGGTGCGTACCAGCATTCCTTGGCCACTAGGGGCCATGTCTTATGACCTCGTAGTCAAAAAAAATGGCCATAATCCTGTGTTTGAAACATTTAAACATTTAAAAGTTACAGAACACCAAAGTTTTAAAGCAAGTAAAATGATAAACATTTGTCTGCAAAAATACATTACCTCAAATGTCAGCTGGCTTAACCAGAAAAAGGTAATTTAAAGGAAAATTTAACTTATTTTAGAAAACAGTGGACCAGATGTTACATCATAAAGACATCATTATCTTCAGGGCACAATGAAAAAGTTGGTGGATCTAATTCAAATATTGACAAAAACGACCATTTTCACTAATTTCTAGGTCATATGGAACAACCCATGGAAAACCATGAAAATATTGTAATATGACAAAACTCTTTATTCTTTTAACTGAATTTTGAATATCAAGGACAAAAATATGTTCATGTGTCCAAGCAGTCATCTGTTTAATTTGAAATGAGCTTGAAAAGGCAGGTAGTGCAACTGCGATTAATATGACCACAAATAAATGTGAAAGAGAAATATGAATTAATGCCTGATGCATTGTACACACTTGAATGGTTACTTTGCGAAGGTTTGATTAGGGAAAAAATAATTGTGAAATATTTTTTGGTTGCACCACCTGACGTTTTTCATTTTGTGAAACCCTTATTTGTCATTCGCCCATGGGCAATAGAGAAACAATGTTACATAATCATGACTGCTTCATCACCATTGTTATTAAAGTGTTTAAGTGTTTTGAAAGCAAACTAATGCATCTTGCTGATGCTGAATTGTTCTTGTCTGCTCTGGCACTCAGGTCGATGTGGACCTGGCAAAATCCTGTGCAGACCTGCCCGAGGATGATGAGGAGCTGAGGAAGAAGCTGTGGCTGAAGATCGCACGGCACGTGGTGCAGGAGGAGAAGGACGTGAAGAAGGCTATGAACTGCCTGTCCAGCTGCAACCTGCTGAAGATCGAAGACATCCTGCCCTTCTTCCCAGACTTCGTCACCATCGACCACTTCAAGGAGGCCATCTGCAGCTCCCTGGAGGAGTACAACAAGCACATCGACGAGCTGAAGCAGGAGATGGAGGAGGCCACTGAGAGTGCCCGCCGCATCCGGGAGGACATCCAGCAGATGAGGAACAAGTACGGCGTGGTGGAGTCCCAGGAGAAGTGTGCCACCTGCGACTTCCCCTTGCTCAACCGGCCCTTCTATCTCTTCCTGTGTGGCCACATGTTCCACTACGACTGCCTCTTCCAGGAGGTGACGCCCCACCTGTCCTCCTACAAGCAGGCCA